ATGTCTGGAATGTTACTTCTGACAGGACTGAAGATGTCTGCATTAGGGTTTAGCTGTGGGGTCTGGAAGGGGCTTCATGTTGTCTGAGGCTGGTTAGGTCAATCGCTAATATATCCTCCTTGTGTAAAAGATATTAAATCATCCTTTAATGTATTTAATTCAATTTGAAATTTACTAAAGTTTTCCATTTGTACTTCTTCTTTCCTTTCTTGTTCCAGTTGCCACTGCTGTAGTCTCTCTTCTTGTTTATTTTCTTGTTCCAGTTGCCATTGCTGTAGTCTCTCTTCTTGTTTCTTTTCTTTTTCCTCCAACAGTTGCTGTAATCTCTCTTCTTGTTTATTTTGTTGTTCGAGCTGCCACTGTTGCAGGTTTTCTTGCAACTGCTGTTGTCTCTCTTCTTGTTTCTTTTCTCGTTCTTCTTGTTTCTTTTCTTTTTCCTCCAACGACTGCTGTAATCTCTCTTGTTTATTTTGCTGTTTGAGCTGCCATTGTTGCAGGTTTTCTTGCCACTGCTCGTTTCCATTTTTTTTTTTTCCATCTCACTTCTGACACCAATTTCTTACGTATCTGGTCGTTTATTAATTTCTGGTATAAATTCTTCTCGAGGAACTTCAGCGATACAAGTCTTTTCTTAAATAAAACTTTCACGTTCCACAGTCACGTTAACTTAAACACACGCTACAATTCAGAATGATTCACGCACTTTACTTAAGGTCACTACTGCTAACTTGACTCAATTATCTGTTTCTATATCTCTCTTCAATCTGCTATCTGCAATTATATCTCCTCTTTATTTGCTGGGCTTTTATACAAAAATAGAGGGCGTCTGGCAAACACTAGAGTTGCCATGAACAGTCATGATCCTTCTAGAAACTCATGGCATGTTATCAGCGTCATGTGACTTCTGTTGTTGTAACAGTATGTTATTTTACAAGTGATAAAATGTACAACATGACATAATACATTTTTTAATTTTCTAACTGTCATTGTAAATGATGAAGTAGTTTTAATATGTTCAAACAAGTTTATGACATCAGACTTCAGATAAAACAAGATATTATTACCAAATATTTTATCAAAGAAACTCTCACAGAGAGATTCGAAAACTCCAAACTGATAATTTTACACATGAATGCAACAATAAGCCAATATACATTTACCTCATTTAAACAGTGATGAATATACTACTTTTCTATGAGTATTGAAAGACATTTTCAAATAACTTTTTTAAAAGACAATAAACTTTATTATCATAGAAAAACCCTCACAAGTATGGCTTAAACTAGTTGTGAATAAAAATATTTATTTGTTAGGGCTGTTTAAGGTAATACAGTTCATAATTTTTTAAAAAGTTCTTTGAAAATTAACATACATGTATACAGCCTACTCTGTCTTGTCAGAAAATAAATAAGTATTGTTTGGAGTGCAGTCTTGGCTTAAATGTTGAAAAACCATTTCTATAAATACAACGAGTTTTGTAGAAAATATTATAACAAGCAATTTCGAGAAACACACTAAAAATCAGTAGAAAAACGTTTAAGTTAGGAAAATAGGTTAAGAATATCAAAGGTAAAATGTCTTTTTAAATCTGTTTTGATATTATATGTTTATTTTAAAGAAAAGAAATCTGTTAAAAAAAGGAATGTTACATAAACCAACTTCAGTTTGTTAATAAGAGAATGTTTTCCTTTAATGAGAATTTAACAGTTTTGATATATTTCATTTTTTTATACTTATCTGTCTTTGACAAAATATTAATATCAAAGGGATTTGTATGTTTGTTTGGAGAGAGAGAGAAGTCAGCAAGAGCACATGTTTATCAGTAGTTGGCCTGATATTATATCACAATATCACTGATAATTTGAATCATACCTTTCATTAATGGCACAAAATGTTGTGGAACCAAATCTTGTTTCAATTGATTTCTGAAGTTGTACATTTATTTAAAGACAATAAAATGTTACACTTTTGTTAGCTCTGCTAGATCTGAGATACTGTTTGCTAATCCCTGAAGATACATATTTTGTGCCTAAAGTTGTCTACAGTAGAAAACTTGCATAGTTACAATAAAAAGTTCTCCTAAATGGCTCTTATATCTTTACACAAAATGGTTTTAACTAACTTTACTTACAGTGTACTTTCATATATTTATTGCAGGAATTTTCATCTGAATTCAAAATTCAATTAAATTTTATAAAAGTTTTATCACTTTTCAATTTTTATTTTCCAACAGTTGAAAACTTTATGCTTTTTAAACTTGCATAAATTATTTGAAACTTATATTATTGAACAATAAGCCCACTGTAGTCAATTGAACGTCTAAATGTTTCATATTAACTAAACAAGAGAATTATCATTCTTTCTATGAACAAACATTATTTAAAGCATAATTTAATTACTCTTAACTTTATTTTTACATATGCCATACATTCATGTCCACAACATACTGTTCTACTAAATAATCAACATAAACAACCTAATCTACCAGCTGTTTCTTAATAATTCTTCTGAATAGAACTTAAATATTATTAACACTATTATCAAATAAGATTGAAAGGTTTTAAAACTGCATTTTCAATAAACAATTTTGAATTTATATTTAGTAGAAACATACCAAAAGAATGAAAGAGTTCCATCATCAAAAACATCTTTCTCTTTAAAACTCTCCCAATTATGGGTAGTTGGAATGTATCTCACAGCTGCAGGAAGAGAATTCCCACCAAACTTTCTTCTCAGTTTCTCACTATTTGAAAGGTGAACGTCTTGCTCAAAGTATTCTTCAAAATTCATCTATTTCTCTGAACAATGGCTCATTCTGTCAAATAGCAACAGGATATCTCAGAAACATGTGAGCAACAGATAAAGTTAAGAAATTCTTTCAGTTATTATGTTGTGAGTAATATCAATAGTCTTATTGTATTTTTAAACATTACATTCTTTATTCAGTCCCTTTGGATGTTTCCAAGAAGAATTTATGATAGCATCTCAACCACACTACTTGCATGATATCAATTGCCAATAATATGTTTCACTCAGTACCAGACCTCATCAGATTAACTAGGATACAATGAACATAATGGTCAGAATGTTTCTATACAAGCTATTTGTTGGAATAACAATTATTCTAGCATTTGTTTGTCTTTTATAACAGTAGTAGGCTTGTTGTTTTTTAAAAATACAATAAAACTTATACTATTGTCATACAACAAATGTAATTGTTTATAATTATGGTCCTTAGTGTTTTACCAAGAAGAGTGTATAATATTTCAACCACACTATGTCTGAATAAATAATGTAGTGTTTAAAAATAAATAATTATAATACTACTGTCTTGTGATAAATATAATTAGGGGTTTTCCAAAAATAAGAGTGTATAATAGTATTTGCACTACACTGTGAGTCCCCTGGTGGTTTAGTGGGCTAATAACATTAAGATTAGGGTTTCAATTACTACAGTGGACAGACCACAGATAGCCCATAATGTAGCTATGTGCTTAACTCAAACAAACTGCACTATGTCTGAAGAAAGAATATAGTTATTCCAAAAAACTAAGTAAAATACTATTGTCTTGAATATGAGAAATAAACTAATTATTCTTAACAATATTTTTTTAAAAACATAAATAATCATTACTTGTTCATTCCTAAGGAAATTTGCCAAAATTCTTAATCAAATATGATCATTTATTTTTAATATGCATTCATGACAAAAACAATAGTGATAAACTTTAACTGATGATCAATATGTTTAAACATAAAACTAAAATCCAGAACACTCCTAAGGTATTTGCATTCAAATAAACATGCTCTGATCAATATATTATAGGTCATTTTCACACTGGTAATGTTAAGTTTGACATACTAGTATGCCTAAAACTGCTCTGTCTGCTTCTTAATAATGTTTTCATGAGATTATACCTTTACAGAAAATGTTTTATTCTCTCTTTTGTGCAGCATTCCATAAACCAGCTAATGTCTTAGATCTAAGACTTCCAAGTGAATGCGTAAATACAAACCAAAGGTAGTAAAGCCCATTTGAATAGCATTACAGAACATGATAGGGATGTGGAAGAATGAGATTATTGCAATTCTAGTTTATTTGTCCATCTTTCTCATGAAAAATGCTGTTGATTTGAAAGTGTGGCTGAAAAGCTATGAACACAATCATCAACTTCAAATCAATTGCTTTCTCCACTAAAGAATTTTATTTTGTAACTTTGGAATTGATTGGCTTAGATCATGGTTTTGGAATCTATAGTTGCCATAAAAGCCCTGCTGTGCGAGTTTGTCAGCTTCCCTGGAGAATATTGAAGACTCCCCCTTTTTTGCAAATGTCTTACATTTAACAATCTTACTATACAAATATTTTACTTTGGAGAGAGCAGTCAGTGCCAGTCACTTAATTCAGTGGCTACCAATCAAGTTTTAGAGATATTTTTCAAGCCCAGCCAGTGCAGTTCACTTTTATCTATGGGTCAGATACCTATATGGTAGTTTGAGTTGTTAAAAAGTGCCTTGTAGCAAATACTAGGTGGTTAGCTCTTTTAGCTCAGTTGGTAGAGCATCCACTTGGTGTGTGAGAAGTTTCAGGTTCAAATCTGAGGTGAGGAGATATATATTGTGAACAAAACATGTAATCACACATGTTTATCACATGACTAGCATTCAAGTAGATAAACCACTCAAAATATGATCAAACAGTGCTCTGTTGTTATTAGTACTGCTGCAATAGAATATCAAGAATTATTTACAAACACTAATTTAAAGTCAAAATAGGTAATTATTCCCTATACAAATCACTAATTAAGACTCATTTGGAATATGCTGTGGAGCTTTGTTCTTCTTATTTAAGAAAAGTTATTGACTTTTTTGGGGTAGGTTCAGAAGAGGATTGCCAAACAATTCTGGAAGGATTATCTTATGTGGATAAGTTAAGATATAATTTATCTTCTCTTAAGAAATAAAGGATCAGAGGTGATCTTATTGAGATTTACAAGATTATTTTGGGTGTCCACATCAAGAGAACAAAGGCCTCTGATATATTTCTGCTGTGTTCTCAAGACAACAGAATGAAATATCACAAGTAACAGATTTGAATATGATAGGCTAGGCTCCAGTTAAGGCAATTTTATTTTCCTAACAGGATGATTAGCTTGTGGAATAAACTGTCATTAACAGTACTAAAGGCAGCACATTAAGAAAGTTTAAGAGGGGGAATATATGACTTCCTTGAAATAAAAGATGGATTGAAATTTTTACCTTGAAGTGCAAAATGTTTCCTTGTTGTGTGTAGTGTTATGTTGTAAGCCAATTAATCTATTATAAAAAGTAATATAGGCTACCATATTATAAAAAGTAATGTTGTCTTAACAAGTTAACTGAAGTTTTGTCTCTTTTTTTTTTCTGTATTCTAATCTTTTGAAAATGTCATCTGGTTTTATGGATTTCAAGTCTGTTACTCTTAAAAACCATGGGCATATCCCTCAAATCAAAATTTGCCTCTTCAGCAAAAACATGCAAAGAAAGTTCAATCTATCCTCATACAACAACTTCTACAAACCTGGAATCGTCTTGACAATTCTTCTCCAAGCTCCTTCAAACAAGTAAAAAAACACACAGATGTCCTATCTAATTTGTGATATTTGAACTCTTTGAATTTTATTAAACAATAAAATAAGGTGGTATCATAAGTGGAAAATTTATTTTTCATAAGTTTATGTGAATATCAGGTATAATAACTTCTTTTCGAGCATTAATGACTGTAGACACTACTATTTTTATATGATATTGTTTACCTTTGTAACATCAGAACAAGGTGGCATTTGAAGTAGGAAATTGTGCTTTTCAGTTTTTCTTATATGTAAACGATACATTGTTCTTTCTTGTGTAATGTATCAATTAATATGGATATTTGCATCTTTCTTCAAGAATTTATCTACCAACAGGCTCAAACTTTACGGTAAAAATCCTATAATGTGCAGAAGTTTTTCCTTCACATTTTACCCAACCTGTCCACCTCAGATTCACAAAGAGAGGGAGGAAGAAACAGCACTTAATTAAGATCTACCTCCCGTTTCCCATATGTCATTGCCTAAGATCCCATTCGTGTAAATAATCCCATGTCTCGTCAGTTGGGCTGGAGACAAAGAGATTCTTTGATTCTGAATCCGAGGGTAAAAAGTTGCGAGAAACGTTGAAGGAAAAACAAATGTGCTTTACGTGATTTTTAGCACAAATTTTGGTTATTTTTGGTTTCTGATGCTTCGACGTCTTTCGGTGTTTAAATTGTAATTTACTAGTTAGTTCACAGAACAGTGTTTTACTTAGGTTCTTATATACGAGAAAAGTGTTTCAATTTTTTTAAACAGCTATTAGATATACAAATTATTATTCTTTAACCTAATTAATCATTGTCGTGTTTCATGAATTGAAAATCTCAAATAAGGATTAATGATTAAATCTTTAAAATTAAATAAGTTTGTATAGTAACTGGTTTCTACTTCTAAATTAAAAGTTAAAACTTCATTAAACATTGAACGCCTATAATTTATAAAACCAACAAAAGAATATAAATAACCACCACTCAGTATTGGTTCTGCACAAAATTCATTATTTTTATTTAAGCCTATTAATTAGTAAGAGACAGGCAAAATTTACCACTACTCATCATCGATGCACGCTAAATTTAAACTACAACATTTCGAACAGTACACAACTGCGAATATCTAAGAGCAATTTACAAGCTAGAGGGACATAACCTGAATATTAAGTTATTAGGAGAAAAACAAATCAATAAACTGACTGAGATAAAAAATTCAAAAGTAACAGCAAGGCTGACAACTTTTAAGAATCTGTTCGACTGAAACTTTTTAAAAAAGTAAAAATTTTAGGCAAAGTGTTACGAATGACAAAAGCTGTTGCCTCCTAGGGGTGTTTGGGGTCTTGATCTGCTTGTGAACCGTGAGAAAAAGCCCAGATGCGGGAGTTTCATGCTCCTTGGGTGTGTAGAACTACGACAGTATCCTCAAAATCAACTCCAGTATGGAATCCAGTGGTTAGCGTGCCGAACTGTGAATTATAGATCCTGTGGTTCGTGCCATGTTACCACTGAGAAAAAAAATCGACCCCCGCACTTTGGGACTGTGAGTGCGTTATAACAGTGATGATTAAATCACATTATTTGCGATCAGAGTAGTCCTCGAGTTGTCGGTGATTGATGTTGATTAGCTACCATTCCTATAATTTATCACTTTAAAATTAGGGACAACTAGTGTATATAGCTCTCGAGTAACATTGCGCAAAAAAATCAACAATAAACAAAGAAGATATCCACAAGTAACACAAGTATACATGTATAAATGTGCCTTCACTTCTTCAGAAACTGCAGTCACGCTTTGTTTAACATGTGCAATTAAATTTGCAAAAATTTAAGGACAGAGATAGGCCGGGTGTATTCTGGAGTTTGCCATGATGGACTACGACCATATACATAAGGTTCAATATTCGCGTCTCTTTGCTGCAAGATCACGCTTTGCACTTTGGTGCTGTGGGTACGTTGTAAGAGTGATGAACAAATATCGCTATTTAATTAAAGCAGTCCAAGAGTTGCTAGTCTTTGCTGTTTAATAGCTGCCGTCTATTTATTCAAACGTAGAGACAGTTAGCGCAGATATATTTTTGTAGTTTTGCACGAATGTCCGAAACTAGCTGTTACGACAGCGGAGATCACGTGACGCTAGTAACACGTCATGCACTTCTCGATAGTTCACGTCCTTTCCTGAAATTTCGAGAGCCTACTAGATATGCAGTAGTCTTGTATATTGTTACGTCTCCGTTTGTTAATTAACTTCCCGTAACTTCGTTCCGACGAAACTTTAGCGACACAAGTCCTTACTTAATAAAACTGGTTTATTATTTCCGAATACAACTTTACGATACACTTGTTTTCAACAATCGCGCTAAAACAAACGCTATATCAACGAACGTTAACTTCAACAATACGTCTCTATCTGACTGCTGTTCAATCACTCACTGTCTACACACACATTATTCTCCCGTCACGTTGTCACCCTCTTTTATATACCAGACTACCCTATATCTAGTAAATACTAGAGCATTCGCCAAAGTACAGGATAGTTCTAGAAAGTAGAGGGCGTGAGAATCACGTGATCTCGATGACGAAACAATATATAAACCGGTAAGAACTGACGGCAACAAGGTAATGTGTAATTGAACTGAGGAGAGAGAGACGTATTGTTGAGTCGACCACGTGAGACGTTCGTTTTGAATTATAGCGTTTGTTATAGCGCGACTGTGGAAATTAAGTGTATTGCAAAGTTGTATTCAGAAATAATAAACCAGTTTTATTTAAGAAAGGAGTTGTATCGCTAAAGTTTCTTCCGAAAGAAATTATAAGGAAAATTAACTAACGACCAGAGACTTAACAAACTGGTGTCAGAGAGTGGGACGGAAAATAAAAAAAATGGAAACGAGAAGCGGCAAATCAAATCACAGCTTAGCAGATTTGATGGCAGCAATACAAGAACAGCAAAAGAAACAATAAGAACGAGAAAAGAAACAAGAAGAGAGATTATAACAGTTGTTGGAGGAAAAGAAAAGAAACAAGAAAAGAGATTATAACAGTTGTTGGAGGAAAAAGAAAAGAAACAAGAAGAGAGACAACAACAATTGCAAGAAAACCTGCAACAGTGGCAGCTGGAACAGCAAAATAAACAAGAGAGATTACAACAGTGGCAACTGGAACAAGAAAGGAAACAGGAAGAAAGTCAGCAGCAACTACAGGAAAGTCAACAACAGTAGCAAGAAGTACAAATGGAAAACATTAGTAAATTTAAAAGTGAATTAAATACATTAAAGGGTGATTTATTGTCTTTTACACAAGGAGGATACATTAACCATCGACTTAATCAACCCCTGACAATGGCAAGACCCTTCCAGACCCCACAGCTAAACCCTAATGCAGACATCTTCAGTCCTGTTAGAAGTCACAGTTGGGTAGGCCTTGTGTGCCATACTTTCCAAATCATGTGCCAGCTCTTGCAGGC